CACCGCTAGCTACAGGCCTCCAACTAGACTCTGCACTGCTGATCACCACCCTCTGAGCTCTGCCATCCAGCCAGTTCCTAATCCACCTCACTTTCCACTCATCTATCCCACACTTCCGGAGCTTGCCCAGGAGGATGTTGTGAGGGACGGTGTCAAAAGCCTTGGTGAAGTCGAGATAGACGACATCCACCGCTCTCCCCTCATCTAACCAGCCGGTCATTTCATCATAGAAGGCTATCAGGTTAGTCAAGCAAGGTTTCCCCTTGGTGAAATAATCAGAATTACACTAGTGGAAACAGGAAGCGGAATATTTTAATGGTGTGTCAAGTTCATGCTTCCCTTCACCTCACTCAGCTACTCTGCACTTAGATGGGTTGAACAGTCAAACTAAAACTGAATAGGCAAGAGTCTCTGACCAGCTTCAACCACATGAGTCAGGACTAACCCCAGTGAGAGGAAGAACAGGGACATTGCATCAAAAAAGCGTAATGATCTGCACTAGGAATACAGTGAGCAGGTCAAAATGTCCTAGGAGAGGCAAAGTAACTGAAATCTGAAAATCAAAACAGCTGAGTCACTCCAGTTCACAGGGTGACCCCTTATGAAGGTGAGCTATACTTTTTGAGATGGGCTTTGGGCAGATGGATTCTGCTCTAGAGCATTACTGATATATAAGCTCATCTCTGCTGTTCCTGTGCTGACAGTAATACAATTTGGTGCTGATTTTTCCTGCCCTGTGAATGTAAACTAATTTACCACCACAGCCCTTTCAGTTATCCGTTTGCGTGTTTTGTTGGTTGGCAAGTAAGATATAGGAAGAACAATGACTCCCTGAGGTTAATCATTTTAAGCAATGTCCACCAAGAAAGACAGAATTTCAACATGTATTCCTTCAAGTCATTAAATACACCTTTGGATTTTATAGGCTCTTCTCTATAAGGAATCTCCTTGCTAAAAAAAAAAAAAAAGGCATGCAATGGGAGTAACATTGAAGGTGTAACATGGAGTTCAGGCTGAATGAAGACAATTTTCATCATACTTTTGTATGTAACAGGCTGCTCTCCTATAACGTTGTGTGATTTTAAAAAGAATATAAATGCTTATTTCCATATGGTAAATCTGGTCCAATTGAGACAAAAAAATCTGAAGAGAGACTGAAAAATCTGCATACTTGTAAGAACAATCACACAAATGCTCAGATGATTTGAAGTGCAGCACATTGTACCTCATATGTCAAAAAGTCTTATCCCTCCAAAAGGCTGAAGTCTGTGCAGGAAAACTGGTCATTTCAAAACAACCTAATGGATTAGGTACCTATGTTTTAAATACCTATGTAAATAAAGTGATAGCATCCCTGACAACCTGAGCTTGTTCATGAAGCCTATCTTACTTGCCTGTTGTCTTTATTTTCCTTTATCTTGAAGTGAATTGAGATGCGCAACACAGAATTAATATAGAAAGTGATTCTATAAATAATGTCTCTATACAACATGAGCTGATCCAAGATACGGCTTTCATAAGCAATGGCAGAAAATTTTAAACTTATAAAATCTCAGAGGTAAAAGGGAAATGAAGATCTTTGCATGGTGCCAGGGGACAAAATTTAGCCTTAGCTTCCACAGTCTCTTCCCCTGTCTCCTCGGGCTGTGGGCTCCATGTGACCTATGGCCAGACCGCTGGGAAAAAGCCAAGAGGATTCCCAACGGGGGGCTCCCCTTCTCAGCACACGATCTGCTTTTAAGCTCAGGTCTCATGTTCCTGAGGTCTGTTTCAGCAATGCTGTGATTGACCTTCTACCTCACAGGTCCTGACCTTGCCTTGCTGATTTGACTTCCTGGCTTGACCTCAGACCTGCTTTGTCACTACGGATTTTTCCACTTATGAAGAGACTGTTGGCTGACCCTAGTTACCACCACTGAACTTGTTCTACCTAGGTGATTGTGGCTCATCTTGTTGTAGGATTATACTTTCCCCAGTACCTCACCAGTGCTGCCACTAGACACCTTTTTGCAGTCCTCTGATTATTGCATTCTTGGGTTTGTTCTTATTAACCCACCCCAACACAGTGGGAAGAGGTTTGATGCTGATATGTTGCAAGTGGCCTTGTTCTTTTGCTGATGGTGACTCACAAATGTCTTCAGAATGAGCAGCAGTTTGCATTATCTTGTGCCTCCTAGAAATCAATATTTGGGATGAATCTTGGACACAGGGTACAACAAAGTTGCAAGAAGAAGATCAATTCCTCTTTTATTCTAGTGCTGCAGTGAAATTTCACATTCCATAACAAAATGCATTATATTCTAACGTCAGCATAGGAACATAGCTGTGGTCAAGTAACCTGCACTGCTAATAACATGTAAGAAGGGATTACAGGAGAAAGCACATTAAAACAAAACAAAATCCAGCAGACAAGTAAATGGAAACAAAGAAGGGAAGGGAACACATTATTTTGGAGAAGGTGTCCACCAAAGTAGTGACAAACATGTTTATGAAATTCACAGGATCATAAGATAGCTCTGGCTGGGAGAGACCTGGTCTCTATTTCAACCCCATATTCGAAGCAAGGTCAGCTATGAAGTCAGACTGGGTTGCTCAGGGCATTACCCGGTCAAGTCTTGAAAGCCTCCAGGAATAAAGAGTGCACAATGTCACTGTGCAACCTCCTCCAATGGCTGGCAGTCCTCACGTTGAAAAGTTTCTCCTTATATATAGCCCAAAACTTTCCGTTTCAAATGTATGTGCATTGTTTCTGGTCCTCCCACCTAGCAGCATTGCAAAGAGCCTCTATCATCTCTGTAGCCTCTGTGTAGGGTATTGCAAGGCTGCCATGCAGACCCCCTGAAATCTCCTTCTTATTTACAGACCAAAGAAGCCCAGTTTCCTCAGCTTCTCCTCACAAGTTCCCCTTTCAGAAAGTATAAATAGACACGACTGTGAAATTGTGAAATCAATAAATGTGGCTTTTTGTGATGGAAAAACTTACAATTTATATGGATAAGTATCTTCATAAGAATTTCCATGTGCTTGTGACCACTGTGTGCTAGGGAGAAAAAAAAAAAAAAAAAGCAGCATCCTTAACTGCCCTTTCACCAGCTTCAGGGATAAGTGCCGACCACTCAACAGTGAATTATACAGCAATTGTAGGGGCCTGTGCAGGTCCAGAGCCCTCAATTAACATCTGTACTTTTACCATGTGCTAGCTTCAACTCTTCTAAAAGTGTATTCTTTTGCTGTCATTCTTATTGTTTGCTTTTATCTTTTTTTTTAACCTGGCAGATTAAGCTCTAGAAAATTGTAATTGAGGCATCCATTCACAGTTAAGTAAATTGACATAAACCTCTTGCTCTATTGACTCAGCAAACATAACTACACTCCAGATTTCAGTCATAGTCAGCAAGACTGAAGATTGGTCTTTTATCCTGTAGAGATTTGAAACCTCACGTTTCAGTTCTTTCCTCTGCCCACCTGCAAATACCGGGGAAAAATTTCACTAAGCAATCGGTGGCTCGAGTTTGAGTTTCTTAGCAATGAATCTTCGACTGTGTGAAACCCAATATTCATACTGTAATAAAACCACATGACATAGAGTCATTCACCAGAACATACATTTTCCAAAGAATACAAAAGCTGAAAAGCTTACGAGCAGGTAGGTACCTGTCTACATGAGGCAGACCACTTTAAGAAGTAGCTGATCTTAAGGGTACGCAGCAGGAAGACCTGAGTCACTTCTGAAACACAGGAACAATCCTAGCAGCGTAAACTGCACCATCAAATTAGAAAGGATTTAGCCCTCTGTAGCTGCTCCTTTGTCAATCACATGAATGATTTCTGTATGTGTGTGTGTGTGTGCACACGCGTGCTTTATTAATTTCTGTCACAGTGCTGATTTAAAGGAAAGCCTGCCAACGGCTCCTTGCCAGGTAAGATTTGGCTTTCTGTTAAAAATGGAAACAAATGACTAAGTGTAGAGGAGTCCAGACTTCCTCCTGCTCAGTGAATGCTCATCACAAGGAGCTGCTAGCAAGCTGAGGTAGGAGGAGGCCTCTGTGAAGGCTCATTGGTAATTTTGTCAGTACGTCATTTCATGTTTCTTGACCGTAAGTTTGTTTATTGACATTGATTTATGTACCATGTCTCATTTAAAGATATGTTTTGATGCTCCACTGATTTCATTGACCCTGTAATAAGCCATTATTAACTTCAAGAGAACGCAATAGTCTAACCTCCCTTTCATCTTTAAGATCATGCACTCGTTCTATCTATATGGGAAACCCTCCAATAAAATACCGCTCTTTGCCCAACAACATAACTAATTTCCCTTAGACTAGTGTCTAATCTGCAGGATATCTCTTAGCTGCATGCGTTATCTTTATCTTTATCGTTGCTTTGTACTCTCTGACATTTTTGAGGGAGTCTCACCGGAAATTCTGGAGGTGATCGGTGCACTGCTCTTCATAGCAGAACTACACAGAGCATTGCCTTTTGCTTGGTTTCCCTCATGCTTTCCTAAGGCAACATTTGAGCAAATTCAGAATGTCTTTTCTTGCAGTTTCACTCACGAAACAGTAAAGAATAGGATCAGCAATGCAATTCAAACTTGTTAAGGCCTGTGTGATTCTGTAAATCTTATACATCAACTGGACAAACTGTGGATCAGTGCCATAAGGTTCTTTGATGCTACGAACAAGCAACACCACATGATAAGGTGAGAAGAAAACAATGAAAGTAACTGTGATGTTCAGTATTAGTTTCCTGATTTTCTTTTTTTCTTTATCTACTGTGGCTTGATTATACCTCACTGCTTGGTAGATTCTATAATAGCAGAACAAAATGATCATCAAAGGGGCTAAGTACCCCGAGCATATCCGGAATATATTTAGCTGTGCCTGCCACCATTCCAGGGGGTATTTATCGTAACATAATGTGTGATTAGTGGAATTGCAAGGATCATTGAAGGTTTCTTTGTTCACCAAGATGACTGAGTTCACGATGCTTTCCAAAACCCAAACAGTTATGCTGACAATGACGGAAAATCTTCTTGTACGCAAATGCTGGAGTTTCAAAGGGTGAACTAATGCCAGGTACCTGTCAACAGAGATGCAAGCAAGGAATGCAGTGCTGGTGTAGAAATTCATATGCATAAGGAAGGCGGAAATCTGACAAAGTAAGGCAGAGAGCCTCCAGTCATCTCCATGCCAGGCATAATCAATCCACAGAGGCAGAATCAGAGAGTACAAGAGGTCAGCCAGGGACAGGCTGAAGAGGTAGACTGCTAACTCATTCTTCTTCCTCACCTGAACGCAAGATGTGTAGAGGAATATGCAGTTGATGGGAATGCTGATCACCATCACAGTGCTATACACGAGTGAAAACAAATACTTATCCAGAGTGTGATCATCATGGCATTTTGTAGTGTTGTTCATTGTCCGCCCTAAGTAATCTCTTTGGCCTATTTCCAGCCCGGATGCAATAAAAAACCTTCTGTGGTCTGAATAGGCATCACCTGTTAGTTTTCCAGCATCTAGCTGTTAAGATTCCATCCATTGGATTATAGCATCTTTCTGTTACCAAAAAAAAAAAAAAAAAAAAAGAAAAGAAAAAAAGTCAGTTATACCAGGAGCATTTTTACCAGTAACATTATTGCTCGTTTTAATGTGTTTCCTGATGGCTATCTGGCTATCTTTTTTTAGAAGACAGATACTGTGTGTGTAGAAGATCACAGTTTTTAGACATTTCTGGAGGGACACATGCAGAGAGAAAAGAATCCAAACCTCTCAGGAGAATAAGGTCAATCAGGTGCAACTCTATATAGCAAAAAGTGGACACACAGCTGTATCACTTTCAGAGGGTTAGCATCTTACAATTCCAGCTCCTAGGGGAAAGTTGAAAGAGATCAGAAAATATATTACAGATAGTGGAGGGGACCAGATGAGGGTTTGGGCCATGCCAAGCTGGCAGATTTGTTCTTCCCACTGCCCTCCTCTTTTCTGAGTCAATGGAGAGAAGAATTGAAAGAGAGGAGTTTAGGTATCTCCTTATCTTGGGCTTTTCTCAGAAGAGCAGAACATGTGGCTGGGATGTGTCTCTAATGCTAATCACTCTTTTGCTTTGTCATATCCTCACACTTTCCCTCCTTTCT